AGCGGACACAGAGTGTGCATCGACGTGCGACGATATTGTAGTCGGTCCTCTTGTTGTTGAATATCACTTCTTAAAATACATTAAACTTCGAACCTACTATCATTACTTGTCCTTACTCTAAGAATCCATCAGTTACTACATATATGCGTACTATTAGTTTATAAATATTTCAAGTTTTGTTCAATAAAAATTGTTGAAAAGATAACAATGAAATACAAAATATCATTAATCATCCGTAGCGTTCAAATGTACTGAGACTTTTCGACACAAAATCTAAACAGCGCGATCGCGCTGCTTAGGACTCAAACGGTTAAGAACAATCTCATTTAAACTACCAGAGCATTGCATACTCTGCCGAGATTGTTACGCCAAATTGATTATGATTAGATTGATCAGTAGTAGCGTTCTGGTTGTGTTCTAATGTCTTTTGTTTCAGCCTTGTCTCCTCCATTAGTATAGTCTGCTGCCTGCTGTTACTACGGTTCAGCTCCCCGGTATATCCATCGGCAACGTTCTTGTCACATAAGATAACAAAATAAAAAAGGAATTTGAGGTAAAAAATAAAAAAAGAAAACTTTATTTTTTTTCTAACATCAACACACTTTACAATCTACTTTCGATCGGATCCGATTACTTTCTTTTGTCATCCCTCAACATCCCCACCGTCCATGCATTTGCTAGGCGTCCGCGATCGTTGCCACGTGCTCTTTCTTCTAGAACCTTCGGTGGAAGGACCGTTGGGATGTTGATGGTTCATTAGGCACTTCAGCGATATACATTGTCGCCGAGTGCCGCCACATCTTTATCTCTATCGTCAGTCCGTCGGATTTGAAGTATGCCGGTCGTGACATTCTACTCGTCGTTCTCGTATTATGGAAATTCTGGTTTCCTGATTGTGACCCCGGTTTCGTTGCTGGGAAAAACACTTTTAATTTTAACTTTACACTATACGCACTTGATCGCGAATATGTTAAACACGATCTTGAGTTAGATGGACTGTAGCGCCCTAATTAAATCGAAGGGACTCCTGGATAGATAGACAGCTAAACAACTCGTTTGATAAGTACTAACTTCCGATAAGGCGGGCAAGGAAAGTAATAACTTTCACTTCTTTAGAAAACGAAAGTAATGATTTTGATTTCTTATAGTAATAAATATAATCTCAATGAAACTAGAACCCGAAAGAGCAACTTTGGATTTCTAATAAATTAGACCGATAAAGAATCCGTCGTAACTTGTAAACTCGTTTACATCGCTTTCAATTTATCTTGCTTTTAACGCAATTTCTGATTATTCTTTCTATGCTGCTGCTTAAATGCTTTGATTCAGATAATATTACCTTTTCCTGACATTTCGAAACTCGTGTGGTTCACCCGATATGAAAACAAGAAATGATAGGCGAGCGACGACGCTGGCGGCACAGGCAGAGCGCGATTTTTTATTTTTAATTCGCTTTAAATGTGTGGCAGGGAAGGAGTACTATCAACTGATCTCGAAATACAGTTATCTTAAATTTTTCTTCTAAAACAAAAATGATAATTCAGTTTCTACAATGTGGAATAGCCATTCTTAAATCCTCTTAAAGTTTGTGCAGGCTTTCTTTTTCCTCGCAACTTACCTTTTCTTCCGCCTTTCTTTTTAACATTATGGGGGCGCAAAAAAATAAAAATATTCGATACTAAACAAGCGTATTGCATGATCAAAGAAATTATTAACAACAATAGAAAGATACCCATCGTCGTCATTCAAAAGCTAAGATAAGAAATTCGCCGTCTTCTATTTTCGTTTAAGAGGAACACAAATTCTTGATTCTCTTAATTTAAACAAATGCTAGAGCACCACGCGATACAGCAATCCGACAAGTGAATCATTGTTGCACAGCAAAAAATTCTGTGTGTATGGAAGCACTATTGTACGTGCGTGACCGTGCACGCATTCTAGCGAGAATATTTAACTGTGATCGTATTCACGAGTTGTAACTCCGCAGAGAGAAAACTCAAGTAAGCGATTCCATATAATAGGAAAATGCATTGAACGTGTATTTGATAGCAACTATGGCATAAGATAGCAGATCTGAAACGTATAATCTTAGCTTTGGGAAATCATGCACCAAAAGATCCCTATAGATCTTTACTGCTATTAGATGTAATGTGCGGCGATTAGTATAACAATATGAGTGGAAATAATGTATATAGTTGAGAGGTAAATATATGTATGTGTAATAGAAATATACTTAAGTAAATATAAGTATAAGTACAAGTACAATGTATGCTAATCCAGATTCGTACACTGGCAGCGTTGCATTACAACAGAGCTTCGAAGCCATGGACCTATGGGTATTTATATGTCGGAGATGAAAGGAAAACCCGAGCCTTCCTTTTGCAATTTTGAGGAAGCCTTCTAATGCTTTAGCCTAGATTTTATCATAACTGTAATTAAGCAATTGTCATTTGTAATTATTTGACATTTGTGAAAGCGAAAATGGGTTCGAGGTGACAACTGGTCGCCGAACGTAGCCACGGTCACGGGATAAACGTTTTGCCTGACGAAGGTGTGGATCGGTTGTATTGTTCTCCCTAGAAATCACATAGAATTGTACTTTAGAGATGTCGATATAATGGGACACACGTTGTATTAGGAATCAATCTCCAGACAGAAATTGCCTAGTAACGGCGTTTGGATCTTTCTCGATGTTTCCAAAGAGTATACAATAAACTTTTGACAGAAATTGCCTAGCAACAACGATTGGAACCTTCTCGATGTCTCCAGCGAGCATATAACGAACAAATGCAGTCGTATAGCGAAAAAGATTTTCATCAGATATTCATTTGTGTAATCGCCTTGGAAAGTGATACATCGAGCAATTTACCGAGTATCTCAGCAATCGTATTTTTGTGTTTAAAATTATTCTACGCATAGTAAAGAGTTATCCCGTTGACCGTGGATTCGTTTGAACCCCGGAACATTGTTAATAGCGTAAATTAAATTCATTAATCGTAAAACCTATCAATCGTTAATCTCATTATTCGTTAAATTCATTATTCGTAAGACATATTATTCGTTCCTCTTATTGTTCGTTAAACTTATTATTCTTTAATCTAATTATTAGTTAAACTTATCGTTTGTTAATCTTATCATTTATTAAATTCATTATTCATAATATTTTGTAAAATCTTGTTTATTCGCGTAAATATATTCTCTGTTTCGTAAAACAATGGTTAATTCAAACGAAAAATCATTACGCGCCTTAAATCCTAATGATAACCCGACATATATAATTACGAAAACTGGCCCATGTACACCCTGGTGTGTAAGCAATCGTGCGCTCCAGTGAAGTGATTCAGAGAAGTGTTATGGATAGTGATAATGAGGGGAAGTAAAACAATGCAGCCGCAGATACCAACAATCAAGATTGCAACCAAAGGAGAAAAGTATTACATAAACGGGTCGGTAGATTTACCAGGCTTAAAGCAACAACAGCAAAATAACAACAATCAAAACGATATGGCTACAGAAGAAATGGAAGAGCAGTGGAGACAGGAGGAGTGCAGCCACGATAACGAAAGATGTTACCAGGAAAGATGTTACGAAAACTGGAAGCTAACAAAGACTAGCAAAAAACGTAAAATAATTCCAGGCACAAGTGCCGCAGCAAATCTAGATACAGAAAAGCAGCGATGGCTGCAAGAATTACCATTAATTACCTTCAGCTCACTAACGGAAGAAATAGACGATGACCCAGCAAGCAAAACCACAACTCAATCAACTTACATTAAAAAACCATCACCAATATTTGTTGAGGCCCAAATAATAGACCCGCTTATTGATCGATTAAACAATATAGTCGGGAAGGATAATTACACAAGAAAACAAACAAAATTAGAACAAGTAAAAATTCAAACAAACATCCGAGAAATTTATAGGAAAGTGATAAACGAATTAAAGAAAAAAAATGATATATACCACACGTACCAGCTCAAAACGGAAAGGAGCTATAAAGTAGTTATGAGAGGACTACATCCAAAAACTAACACAAAAAAACTAAGTAACGAATTAGCAAAACTTGGCCACTAAACAAGAGCAATAAACAATATGACAAGATACGATACGAAGTAACCATTACCATTATTCTTAATAGAACTTGAACCCAGAACCAATAACAAGGAAATTTATGAAATCAAAAAAATTCTAAACACAATAGTAACAGTGGAACCACCACGCTACAAAAACAATACGGTCACACAAAAAATTATTGTAACAGAAGCCCGGCGTGTGTTAAATGTGCAAAAAATCACTTAACAATACACTGCCTATACACAGGAAAAATAGAAGAAGTTAGATGTTATAATTGTAACGGAAACCACGCATTCAGCTATAAAGGATGTGAAATCAGGAAACGATTACAACGTAAACTGTTTCCACCACTTCGCAATAGATCAATCAATAACTACCAACCACAACAAAGTATAACGGATAATGAAACAACATTGAAAGCACAATATGAACCAAACGCTATAAACAGAAACATAGATCCCCAAGGTAACCGAAGCTATGCGCAAGTAACCCAAAACGTTAGCCAAGCAACGCTCACAAACAATCAGAATCGAAGCAACAACATCGAAGACGTTACAGAAATCAAAGGAATGCTCAAACAATCCATTAAAAGTACGGAGATATTACGAAAAATGGTAAGTGAGCTAAACACAATACTAAGGCAACAAGTACAACAAACAACAGTCATGTTACAACTACTCACAAACTTGCTAAGTAAAAAATAGAGATGGACATGTTGAAAATAGCAGCCTGGAACTCCAATGGCTTGCAACAGCGACCCCATGAAACTAAAATTTTTGTATAAAAATAATATTGATATACTACTTGTCTCAGAAACACATTTCACTCTAAAAAGTTACATGAAAATACCGTACTACACCATCTACGACACTTTACGACATTTACTCAGGTAAAGCACATGGAGGAACTGCAGTAATAATAAAAAATGACATCAAGCATCATCTACATAGTCAAACAAATCAAGAACACTTACGAGCAACCACTGTCACAATACAAACTAATGACAATTACTTCTAGATATCAGCAGTATATGTACCTCCGAGATACAAAATGATACTTAAAAAATGGGAAAAGTACTTCCAATCCTTAGGCGACAAATATATAGCAGCAGGAGACTTTAATGCAAAGCGCACATTATAGGGTTCGAGAATTAACACGCCGAGAGGTAGAACATTAGAAAAATACATTAGAAGCAGCAACCTCAACGTACTATCTACAGGAAACCAACGTACTGGCCGAC